GGAGGCAGAGTCGTGGGGGGGGGGGGGGGTAGCCTGCCTCCGTGGTGGATGGCGATTTGGGTAGGTGATCGATTTTTTGGGTGGGTGCCCTCTCCGCGGAGCTTGAGGCGAGTCGTGGCAGGAGCATGGCCACTTGCGGAGCCGAGCTTTGCCGTAGTTCCCGTAAATGGTTAAAATAACATATCGAGGCACAAAATGGATCCTCTGCCCGAGAGCGGTCAGAGCGGAGCAGCTGGTTGGGACGGGGCTCCTGGGTCTATTCTTAGCTCAGCCGGTGCCTCCCCGACCTGACCTTAAGCGTGGAGAGGAGGTGTGAACGGCCTCGTCTTCCCAGTCTGTTAACTGGGAATACTAAGCCCTCCCCTGCGCGACGCCGATGGGGAGACCGGCGTGCAGAGCCCGGTGGGACTGTCACTTGGAAGCGCGGTGGGTCGCGGGTGCAAGAAAGGACTTTACGTGCGTTCTTGCAAGCCGGGGAAGAGCTGTGGAGGTGAAATGACCTGCCCAAGGTCACGCAGCCGGTCGGTAGTAAAGCTGGGATCGGCACTGGGAAATGCCTGCTTCCTAATCCCCGCTGCCTCCCGGTACGCGCTGGGCGGGCAGGTACGGGGACAGGCGGGGTGCACGCAGGCCGGTGCGTACGGACCCGCCGGCATCCAGGTCTTGGGGAGGGCGGCTCGAAGCCCAGCGCTGGCGCTTGCCTGACTCGGTCAGCACCAGTCCCTGGTGTCCCTGAAGGTCAGAGCGCTCCCTGCCAGGAGCAGGGATCGCCCGGACTCTGCCAGCAGCGCTCCGAGCTACCGGCTGTATCCTCGTTTGGGGTTTGGTTGGTTTTTTTGGACTGGTGAAGGTCCAGGCCAGTTTTCAGGGCTCCCAGGCCGTAACACTATCCCCTGCTTTGGCTTGTAAAGTGATCGCCGCAGGGTTCGGGCAGGAATTTTTCCCCCCCCCACATAGGCACAGCCTTGCACCGTTGACTAGTGCATCAATAATAAATGCCGAGACCTCGCGTAGCTTTTATCTCGGAAAAGCTGCACAAACATTAACTAATCCTCGCCGTATCCCCGGCGTTAGGTAACTTCTGTGGATTAGCGAGGGATGAGGGAGGCTGCGGAGGGAAGCGGGAGCAGCGCTGAGGAAATTTTCGTGTTCTCTGGTGGCTTGGCTGGGGCAGGGAGGGGCAGAGGTCAGGGTGATTTTGTGAAACGGGACCGGGGTGGGGGACCCGTCCTGCCACGTGTCTTTTTACCGCAGGGGAAGCTCCGTCCCCGGGGATGGCGACTGCCGGGTGCGAGGCAGCCGCTCCGCTCCCTGATTTCTCTTAGGCACCAGGAGGGAAACTTTCTACCCTAATTTTCCTGCTGGCGATGTGAACCCCTGTGCTGCCTTTCCCCAGCGGGCCTGGAGCAAATAGTTGTCCTTCCTATCACAGCCAGAAGTCTTTTTTTTTAAGGACAGTGAGAGTTTTTTCTTGCTTAGAAGCATGCTTGGCAGAGCCGTTAATGCAGGGTCAGTCTGAAGTCTTGTAGTCAAAGCCACTAGGAAAACTCTCGTGGCCTTAAGTCCGAAGGAGGATTGGGACTTCGCAGTGGTGGGAGGAGGGAGAGGTGTTTTTCTCTGCTCCAGGGCCAGAGAAGAATGATGTTTTCTGGTCCCAGACCCTCGCTCTTGCCCTAAAACTGCCGGGAAGAGGCAGCTGGCTCAGGGCTCCCGGAATTGGAGCAGGGTTTCTCCCAGGCCTGTGCGTTTGGGTTGTTGGCCAGCGTCACCTGGGTGCCGTAATCGCTTTATTAATGTGGCTGAAGCAATCGTACAAATCAGACGAAGGTATCTTTGTCCCTCCAAATCGAAGGGTTGCTTTCTGACCGACCCACCGCATGCGTTCACTAGCTTCATCCATGGTTAGATGTTCTGCTTTCCAGCAAATAATAGACTTTAAAATGGGGATTATTTCAATTTTGTACAGCAGTTAGCAGATACTTAGCACTTACTCAAGAGAGATTCTGCCAAAGTGATTGTTCTGTGTTGATATGATCCTGGCTGGATGCAAGTTCCTCGACTCCGGCAGATCTCCTTGTCTCCCCTCTAACCCCAGCAGTTCAGGAGGAGCGGGGAGAGGCGCAGACGGTCGGTAGGCTCTCAGGGGTGTTTCTCCGAAATCCAGCCCTTGGTCATGTTTAAGTCAACTCCCTAAACTTGGCTTTTCCTCCTCTCAGTAAACAGTTGCTGAAGGCAGTTGCCCTGGAGATAGGGAAACGGCGCAGATAGAAATGGCATGCTTGTAATGTCTGTGATTCAAATATTGCTGGGTCAGTGGCTGGGGGTGGGATGGGGAGGAAGCCAGGGTAGCCACATGCGTTTGGTTACCCTGTGGAAACTGAGGATCTGAAGAAAGCTGTTGGATCTCTCTCTTTGCCCCCACATCGTTCTCGGGCTCTCCCCAGATCACGCCTGTCCTGTTCTTGCTCTCAGCAGCCTATTCCAAATTGTCCTCCCGATTTTTGTAGCCGCCCTACCTGTCAGGGAGTTTGCGGAGGGGCTTTCCCCGTAGCCCTCCCTTGACTTTAGTTGCCTGCAGTGAAGCAGGCTGCGGTGTTTGCAAATGCTGAACCCGCCTCAAACTCGCTGGAAGGTATTCAGATCTCAAATGACAGGTTAGTGTTTAAAAGGTGGAACGGAGATTCTCCTGGCTGGGCTGCGCGCTTCTGCCAGCAGGACAAAGGCTAAGCCACCCCGCGACCTGACAATGAGCCCTTTGCTCTTCCAGCCAGGCACTTTTTCCTCTCCTTTCGCATCTGCAGTGAAGATTTGCCCTTGTAGGTTTTGACATCCAGAAGGCGACCTCCTCCAGTCCCCTCTTCTCCCGCAGCCCCAGGAAGC